GCTCCCACAAATGTCTACTGTTGTTGTGTCCTTGAGCAAGACACTTAACCTCACGTTGCCTGAAGCCCCTGCTGAAAGATCAAGGCTGCGTCAAGAAGCCATCTTCCTGTGGACTCACCACCTGCAGAGGATCAGCGAGGGACTGGTGCTATGAGCTTTGGGTGGCAGCTCAGAGCACCCAGAAATGGACTAATAAAGGGGTTGACAATGAATGAATGAGTGAATGATACTGTCGTATTTATAATCGAGGGCTAAACTAAACCTGTATGTTTAGTTTAGAACTTAACTTGGGGAGGCTACATTTTGGATTCAACAATCTTCAAGAAAGTGTGAGACAGGCTTCTACCTCTGTTTTAAATCCAGGTTAAAACAGTTTTTGATTCTAAAGACCTGTGTGACTGTTTCTGTCTTGTTTTGTTCAGCACATTGCGTTGCCTTGTGTATGAATTGTACTATAGAAATGAACTTGTCTTGCCTTGCGTGTCAAGGCTGTGTGTTTTGTTTGTTTTTTTTCATCCTTTTCATTGTATGATGTATGATGACAACAATATTGATGAAATAAGATCTTAAATCAGAGCGTAAGTGGGTCAGACGTGATGCCCTTTAAACAGACAATGCTTATTAGTGAGCTCCATTACTTCACATTCACTCAAACAAATTGGAATGGCTGCCTGACTTGGCTTCGGGGCCTCTTTTGGAAAGGAGACTGTCGTTATGAATTTGGTCTTTAAAGATCATCAAACAGTTGGTTACATTGGTTTAGATTTCAGTTCAAAAAGGGTCAGAAACGAAAGAGCATTCTTCAAAACACATAAGTGAGCAGATAGAGGCAGCGTGTCAGAAGTTAAGCCTTTTGTTCTAAATCGTTTTTCATTGTTCTTTGCCTCGTTTGGGCGCCAGACAATACTATTTCTGTTTTTGTTCCATTTCGGTCAAAAATGATATACTTTATATATCTGTAGGGAACATGTGTAATGTTCCCTACAGATAGGGAAAATATTGTTTAATAATTTCTACAAAAACGTTGAAGATTTTTGTGGGTACAAGTAGAACCACTTTTTTATCTGGGGCAGTATATTTATCTGCTTGTCTCCATGGATGTTTGTTGCTTGGAATATTCCATTGCAAAGTATATTTCAGGTCATTCTATGGTGCCACTAGAGCCCTCAAATGTGGATGGAAAGCAGAAAATTTAGGGTTTTTTTTTCTTTTTTTTAGTATTATCTTTTTCCGTAATATAATACTTTTGAATTCTAATAGTGTAAAAGATACACATATTATTATTCATCATTTATCTTTGTTTTAAAATGTTGCATATCAATAAATCATTGCAGGCAGCTTACATGTGCTTGTGTTTTCTTTATGCATTTATAAAAAATACAAACAAGTGCAATGAAAAGATGACTACTGTTTATCATGTGCACCCTTTCAAGCCAGGAGAGAGACATGGATGTGTGTTTTTTTTTTTTTAAACCTCACTCGACCGTCAGGGACCAGACTAAACTGAATATTCTATGAAAACTGTGTTGTACAGTTTGAAATTATCTGAGCGAACACAGGCTACCAAGACTCGCATCCCACCACACCATCAAAAGGTTACACAAGGTTTGAATGCTAATCTTAAATTGTATGATTCTTAATTATTTTAGATTGAATTGAGAAAGTATTTTAGTCTAGGATAACATGAGCATGAAGAGGACTCAAAGAAGATTAGTAAAAGCACATGTCATACAACTACTTGCAACACAACAACTGAAGTCTGTCTGCTTTGTTCTTTTTGATATTTCAATAAAAAAATAACTGTTTTATTGGCTGATTATATTGCTTTTTGCTGTACAGATAAAGACATTTTATTGTTATTATTATCAATATGCAAATAAATGTGCTTAACAACAGGAAACACATCACACAAAACAGCAGTAGACTTCTTTCACCACAGGAGGGAACTAAAGCTTCAACAAATGAATGATCTTTGTTTTTTTGTTTTGTGTGCGTGTTTTTTTTACTATTTTCACTATAATGTTGTTTATTTGATACATCCTATACTTACTATTATTTGTTTATTTCCAAGCTTGTTTGTTCAAACAAAGCACATGAATGAAATGCAGAGCGTGCTGTGGTGGCAGTGGTTAGCCCTTGTGCTTCACACATATACCATATATTCACAGCAAGAAGGTCCTGGTTCGATTCCACCTCCAGACAGGGCCTTCCCGCGTGGAATTTGCATGTTCTCCCTGTGCCTGCATAGGTGTCCTCCTTCACTAGTTCAGGGAGAATGAGTGTGTGTGTTTGTGAGGGACAAAATCTGATACATTTACAGCACATACTGTGCATTAATACACACTGTCCCATACAAATAACACATTTAATTCATATTTCCTCTTATAGACACTTACAGCAAGAAACAACCTTTTTTCTGGTTATTCATTTCTCATTCTAACAAGACGCCTTCAAGCAAAGGTATTCCTTATCATTGTTTAATCTCCTGTCTACTATGTTAACTATTCACTTTTGCCAGCAAAACAAATCCAAAATGTGTAAATGTATGTCCTCATTCCTGCTGGTACAAAGTAATGTGTTAGATCATAGCATGTGTACAGTAGTTACATTATTACACGTAATCATGTCATTCATGATGAAATAGTGTTTAACATTTGCTGTATGTGCTTGTGCTCCAGTGAAGAGGCAGGCACTGAAGGAGGAGGAGACCCAGGAGACCCAGCTCCACACCAGCCTCACAACCACAGACACACAGACTGGAATAACACAAACAAGTGTTGGATACTGTAGTGGGCTTTAAGGACCACCATGTGAGGTATGTACTGTAAAGGATTCATGTGTCATTTTCTTACTTTTTGGCTCTTGAATTTGTTATGTTTGTGCAACACATTTACAATACTACATCAGTACTCCTTACTAATGGTACAGTTTCAGTTTAGAGTTTTCCTGTTGTTGTGTGTGCTATCTTTTTAGTTTTTGTAATTAGCTTACAAAGAATGAATGTTGCATAAGATTTTTACTTATTTAAAACCCCCTTGGTCAATTTCATCTTCGAGCTAATAAAAGCTAATTGTATAATATGTAGCTATATTGTTTTATTGAATTGTAGTATAACAGTAATTGCCTCGTGGTAATTTTGCCTGATGGATGTTGAATAGCCTGAACTACTTCAAAATAATTGCCTATAATCTCATTTTGAGATGCAATGAGAGGGCACAGAGCTGACAATAATCATCTTGTTTACCGGATGTGCCATTCCTGTGAGTCAAACATTGGCTCATCCATGATCCATTGGTGGAAGGTTCTCTTTGGGTGTCAATTTTTCACTTTATGTTACTGGATGTCGCCACCTGTGCTTTTTCAGATTAGATTCAGATAATATTGTTTTGTGTGCAAATCTAACGTTAAACAAGCCAAAACACCGAAAAATGTTTTTGATGGCTCTTGTTGTAATACTACAATTTTTTCCAGTCAAATTGGCAGATCATTTCCATTTTGCTGAACGGGGCGTAAAATTTAATTTATTTTCCAGATAAAGGTATATTAATTTGCTATTGACAATCGGCAAGCTAATTGTCTGAAATTAGAATTATAAGGCAGTTCATTGCTTCTGAAACTTCATTTTTTGGTGGTATGGCCATAAATTATGCATTCTCTCTCTCTATCGAGCCAGAGTATAGAGTGTCATGCTGCTCTGGCACAATGAAATCAAGAGGTGTAACATCAGGCTGGAAACACACAGTTGAAATGTGGATCTAAAAAGGCTGCAGGCGACGGAAAACCAGTGTCACCATAGAGACTGGGTAACTACTGTCTCTATGGAAGAACTTGTGACCTATGAACTCCACATTTACAGCATCTTCACTTCACTATTATGTTGCATTTGTTGATTTCAATGTTCCCTTTTACCTGTTCCAAGCATGACGCACATATGAACTTTCACTAAATATATTCCTGCATAGCAATGCTCATTACACACAATAATATGTTCGTATCACACAGAAGAGAAAACACATGCACGCCGTTAAAAGGGTTGTGATTACGTTTAGGAAAAGCCCACATTCTGTTGAGGCTATAAATAACAATGTCAACAAGTGTGGTGTGATTTAATTCTTGCAATCTTCATGGCGCATGGCAAGAGCTCTGGTGTGTACTGTGGTGCACACTGCATGGAGTAGTCTTGCACAGTTTTTACAATGTGGTTTAACCGCAAATGGAAACTCAATTCTTGTATCTTGTGTCTTGTATTGAGGTTGCAAAAATCAGTTGTTTAAATCTATGGCAACTGCAAAGCGAGACTCTTCTATTCTATTTTTTTAAAAACACTACAAAATGCAACTGTTTGCCAAGTCCTGTTTCTGAAAACCTGTAGTTATTCACTCACTAGCATGCTTTATGATGGTCTGCTCTCGCGTCTGACACTGCTAACTTTAATAAACGGCATGTCCTGTTGACACAAGCCGTCACCTATAAATTCCTTCCTCACTAAGGATTTACTCAATCATTCTCTAAGTCCTATTACTAAATTAATATTTATGTTATTACTAGAGCATATGTATACAAGGAAATTTGACAAATATTTAATACTTTAGGTTTTAAATTATGATTATGTAATCACAAGGTGTCATAAGCCTCTTCTTAACAGTTGCATAAGAAGCAAATGAAATGTGTCTTTTATGTACACAGACGAGTCAACATGCTTTGTACTAATTAAACCACAACTGTTTGTGAAATATGTCTTTTATAACAAGTTTTTGTTATAATTTAACACATTGAATATTAACCAGTTGTACATAGGACTCTAATGAATACATTAAACATGTTCATTTGACATTGGTGTGTGTATTTTCCTTTCACAGACATGAGCTCAGCTGAATTGGAAAATTCATTGTACTCCAAATAAAGAGGAAGACAGTTTGGTGTGCTATGGTCCTGTTTCCATCAGGGCTTTTTACTACTTCTCATCACAAACTTGGGGAGAATCTGAGAAACCGGCCAAGATGAGCACTGTACTACTTTGGCTGGCCCTCATATCCCACATCATCATCACCATTGGAGGGAATGTGCTGGTGTGTTTGGCCGTGGGTCTGAGCCGGCAGCTGTGGCGCATCAGCAACTGCTTTGTGGTGTCTCTTGCCATCACAGACCTCCTCCTGGGCGTGTTGGTGCTGCCCTTGTCTGCCAGTGTGGAGCTACGCAAGGGCTGGTGGTCTCTCGGCGGCGTGCTTTGTAATCTGTACATCTCTTTGGACATCATGTTATGTACGTCCTCTATTTTGACTCTTATGGCCATCAGTGTGGACCGCTACCTGGCAATCTCGGCCCCTCTCAGCTATGCCCGCAGAATGACCACAGTCAGAGTGATTGGCGCCACTGGAGCGATATGGGCCTGTTCACTTACTGTGGCCTTCCTTCCTCTTCGCATGGGATGGAACACAGCAGACTACAATGTCCACTATATGGACTGGGCCGTGGGAGACCAGGACCGTGATGGCCGGTACTGTCTGTATGAGTGGAAGAACAGCTATGTGATTGTGTATACCACTGGAACATTTTATCTGCCCCTGCTGCTCATGACGGGGATGTACCTGTGCATATTCAGAGTCGCTCGGGAACAGGTATGTGTTTTTATCACCGCAACAAAGTTATACATTAAAGGAGACATTTTATGCAAATCAGGTCCATCCACGCAAATATCAGGAACTTATGGCACTAACTCTGCTCCTTCTATCTAAAATCTCCTGTCTCACTTGAAATGATAATAACTTGTGCCCTTTAGATTCATTTTGGCTATTTCTCAGGTGAAATGATGGCTTTAATAATATAATTATGATTATTATTAATCATAATTATATAATTATTTTAATATTAGCAATTTACAATCAAATATTTATGTATTTATTGGGGGAAAACAAATTCTACTCCTCCCTCTGGTGGTAGCATAGGGAAAGCATTTTATTTATACTAGTTTCGCAAGATATTTTCTTCTTCAGACATGATCCGCAAGATAATATATGCATAGCCAAAAAATGTCTTTTTTAATCATGCAAAATAATTAATATGCATGCTAATTGAAATACTATCTACAGACAAGTAAAGAATCCCCCCAAACAAATAATTAACAAACTACAGTATCTAATAGGAATCTTGAATAATACAATGAAAGTAGATTTTTCATTCATTTTATTTCTTTATTTCTGTTGCAGGTGCGTCGTATTCGAGCTGCTACTCCATCCTTTGCACGCTCCGCTTCCACTGTAGCCATATCCAAAGAGCACAAGGCCACAGTGACTCTTGCTGCAGTTCTTGGAGGCTTTATTATCTGCTGGTTTCCATATTTCACTTACTTTACATTTATGGGCATGAAAGGCAAGAGCATTACTCCGAATACATTGCATTCAGTGGTACTGTGGCTCGGCTACTTCAACTCAGCTCTGAACCCCATCCTGTATCCAGCCTTTAACAGAGACTTCCACAAGGCCTACAGGGAGCTGCTTTACTGCAGGAGGCCCTGTCGAAAAAAGATTCACCTCTCCAATATTTCTGTGCACAGACACTTAAGAAATAGCTCCAGTATTTCCCAACATTCAAATAACAAGGAGTAACAGAGGTACATGTGCAAAGGAACTGTGAAGCACACAGTTCCTGAGCCTAAGCTTTAGAAAAGAAATGTGACCCAGAAGTTCAGCTCTGGACTTTGGACTGTAGCTGCTGTAAATTGTGTTTTCAAAAGAGTTCTCTGTTTCTATCCCAGGCAGCAGCTACTCTTGGTACTGACATGTGCATTGATTGTGTGGCATAAAAAGGATTTGCATGTGTGCACGTTTAATGAACTTCAGATTATCTGATTTAAAGCAGTGGATAGACAAATTGCAAGTTGTGTTTTCTCAACTGAGTATACTGAACTCAATATACACATTAAATATTGTCAAAACAATCACATATTTTTTGATGGATAAAAATGTTTTCTCTCATTTGGTGCATCTACTTTTCCACACACAAAGTCAAGGAGAAAGAACACTTTCCCTGCAGGGATAATAAAATGTACATTATCAGTAAATCTGCAATGAACGATTTAACGATTTATTAGTTATACTGTGGATAAATACGTTTATTTTCACAATGCTTCCACCAGGGAGATTGATCCTGTAAACGTGACAAAATAATTCCATCACTGCCAGTGGAAAACAACTTTACATTATTTTTTGTCAGTAGTATTAGTAATAGAATAATGTTATAGACCTATAAGTCCATGAAGCCTGACACTGAGAAGACTGAGGGGCAGGCCAGCGGGGAGGGTTCAGCAGAGCACTTCTGCTGAGTGAGCAGAAAATCCAGTGAATAATGTGGTACCCTCTATGTGGCTGATGCTTGCTTTGAACTCATGTATGTGGCATTTACCGATCAAGGTGCTGCGTGTTTTGATTTGTGTCTTTTTCTGATCCTTTCAATGATCTGCCAACAATATAAACAAAAGTAAAGGCTACTGGACTGGACTGAAGTTTTTTTTAGAATCACTGTAGAGAGAATAATAGAATCTCAAAGACAAAAGTAAACCCTGCATTGTGGAAATAAGATAATGTATTAATTCATTCAAATTCATACCGATCTCAAAACAAAGCACTTTATTTACATAGTGCATTGAAATGTGTTATACAAGTCAAACATACACTATTTGAACATGTAAAAGTGTATGTTTCCACTTTTCAATGGAACAATGGAACGTTTCAGTTGATGAGAACCAGTTTAGGGAAAAGTTAATCAATTGCAAATTGTAAATAATTATCCATGAGAATTGCATAATTCTATGGATTTACAGTGCATAAAGTAAAAAATATGTTTTCAAGCTAATGTGACAAAAAGTTCCTTATTTTATCATTAAGCCATAAAATCAAGTGGCCACCAGAGGGCAATATTGACACTGCATTCAGCACAAGGCCCACTGTCATGGTGCATCCCCTCTTGACAAGGAAGTTGGCTGCATTCCTCTTCCAGTTTCTTCCTGAATATTAAGAATCATTAATACTTCATGACACACAAACACGCTTCACATGACATCATTCACACCATTCACAGTGATGATAAACTACTTCTGTTGCCACAGCTGCCCTGTGGCACACTGACAGAAGCGAGTGCCATCGGCTCCGACAACCACCACGAATCATTCACATCATACACACACGGACTCATTATACACACACCAGAGTCATATTAGGCTGTGTATGTGAAGTGTCTTGCCTTTGGACACAACAACGGTTTGGGACTTTACAGCCTTAAAGAGCACACTGAGTCGGCTTCGGGCTGAGAGATGATTGGCTGATTGATGCTGTTCTATAGATCAGACGAACGGATGTGAAAAGGAGTGATAAAACCAAAGCATGAATCAAGTAGGATGGATTTTTCTTACATTTTCTGTGGTTTGAATGTTAGGTATATAAACTTTAGACAGGAGCAATTGGAAAACACTGCAGGGACAACATTTGAGGCATGGTCTATCTCACAATCAATTAGAAAGTGTGATTAACATTACCAAATTTCATATATCTGCTTTATACGACGCTTAACACCCAAAGAACTGATTGAGTTTGTTGTTTTCTTATTGCCATCATAAGTATTTGCCTTCGTCTCCTATAGTGGTGCAGCAGCTTCACAGGCAATAATCTTGAGATTGACACAGACGTTATTAAAATGTGCAACAATTCATACTTGTCTGTAAATATAGACCTTCTGAGACAGTGGCCACGATTTCATTCGTTTATTACTTAAGATGTGTTGCTTAGAACTTTTTCATTCTGTCAGTATTACTAATCAAATAACAATGGTTTGATAGTACTCAGCTGGACAATGATCTAATTTAGCATCATCTAGCAATAGAATGCCTTATGTCTTAGAATGTATATGTTGTTTTGAAGATTAATCCTATTTGATGTGAGGTATATTGCTGTATTTGATTTATTATGGTCGATACTTGGACTATAATGTACAAAAGACTGCAAGCTCAAACAAATCTTTCTGTGTTAAGAATAGTGCAGATATGTTCAATGTGCATGAAACTCTTGCCTCTAACAATGAAGTATAGGAAGTGAGATTGTTGGCATTATTATGTGACACTGTGTTTATATTTTTTGTAGCTGTAAAGCTGGTGTTTAAGTATCTGAGTGTGTTATGTAACTGTGGGTTGTGAGGTGGGTGCTGAGAAACAGAAACTTTGTAAGTAAAATGAGCGTGCTTCCATAAAAATAAAAAAAATGCTAATATCAATGTATCTTAGTTTTTCTTCAGTTCAGTACAAGTGTTGTATGAGAGGAGCAGGGCAGTACAAATCTCATGTATAATTTAAGTGACCTGTAAAGCAGAGTGCATCAGGCGGGAACTGTATGAGGGGTGCCCTGCTGGTCAACTCTTCAGTCAAAATGGATCACCTTCAGTTTTGAAGAAAGAGCCATATCAGACAGTTTGCTCTTGAAGGCTGGTGTACCTCGCTTTCACGTCATGAAAGAAAAGAGTGCGTTATTTCACTTGCAAGAACTGTACCACAACAATGGAATGTGATAATAAAACATGTTTTTTGATGCTTCATGATGGCTGGGTGAGACTCAAAAGGTGGGAGGGCGGTGTTAAAAGCGCAGACACAAACATGTGAAATGGGAAAGCTAGAATACACAGAGTGGACAAGGAGGTGTGGTTATCTGGATAGAAGAAGTCAGAGATTGAGGAGTGGCCCTGCCCTGCATTTCAGTAGAAAGAAATTGCAGTAATAGTATTGTATTTCTTCAGTCATTATGTACATTTTACAATAATGAAAAAATAACTAAAACTTGTAAATAATTTTATTGGAGACTATAATAATAATAATAATGCATGGGTTTTACATAGTGCTTTCTGGACACTCAAATATGTTACACAGGTCATTATTCTTTCACTCCATACATGGTGGTGATAAACTACTCATGCAGCCACAGCTACCCTGGGGCACACTGACAGAAGCGAGTCAACCGGTATGTGTCATCAGCCTATACGAGCAATACCCAGCTATTCACTCACACACCAGACTCATAGGGAATGTGGGTGAAATGTTGTGCCTATTGACACAATGACAGTTTGGCCTTTTACAGCTGCAGCCAGGCCACTGTAGCAGAGTGGGCTGGCCAGAGGTCTCCCATCACAGTACTAACCAGGCACAGCGCTGCACATCTTCAGAGGTCTGACAGGATCTGGCTTTCACATGCAGATATGGCTAGACTGATGGAAGCTGCACATTCAACATCTCCAACCAACTCCAGAAAGCAATGTGGGTGAATATCTTTACATGGACTTATGAAAAAGTTGCTCTTAATGAAAAAAGAATCAATTAGATATTCATCTGTAATACATTGATATCAAATATCACAACATCCCTGGATTCTCTGCGTTCATAGCTTTTTTTTAAATCCCCAAAAAACCTCACTAAATGGCTTGCTCGTTGGATGTAATAACTCGAATCTTTGTGTTTGTGAATACGATTGCTAGCAGTTATTTTGGTCTTGGAGTGCAGAGGACTTTTGTATAAAAACTGATTTGGACTGTATCCACATTTCGCCCCCACACAATACTTGACTAAAGCTGATTAAAACTGTAGCAATGACTTTGTGGGTGTGAGATGTGAACATTTGCATGCTTTCAGATAAGCACCTTTCCCTTGTGTTCCAGCTGTGGTCCCCTGCCTCCCACTGTTCCTGTCATTTCCCATCAGTCCATGTGCAGTGGATATTAAACTCCTGACTCTACAAAGCGCTCAGCAGAGAGGCTCCACAGGACTTTAATCTGTGTAGGAGGAGGCGAAGTGCTGCACTGATGCAAAGTACAGTCTCAAAATGAAGTTATGGACAGAGAAAAACTACCTTCCTTTGCACCATCTTATCTTTCTCTGCAGCAAACTCAACTGGATTTATATGGGAAGTATCAGGGAAAATGTCAAAATGGTAAATGTAGACAGAGAAATATATCTTGCAGAAAATTTGGTAAGATATTATTCTCATTATAATATGAACTTTGGCTTAATCCATGTAATCCAAGTCATACAAATATTCAAACTTGTGATGACTAAAAGGATTTGTACAGCCTGAATCACAACAGTAGTCATCTCGGAGGTATTTACAACGTTGTTGATTTGTAAACACAGATAAATCAATTAAAAGTTTGCAAAATACTCATTCTACAAACTATCTTGCTCCGGTTATTGGAGGCATTGTGGATACTGTAAATCAATACATTTGATTGTTTTCTATGCTAGAAGTTGCACACAGTGATAAAACAGTTGTATGAACTCTTGTCACCTCTTGTCACGAATAGACACACAGAGACTGCGCAAAGAGACATCATTCCCAAATATTACGGCCTTACTCTCTGGCTGTGATGAAGATAAATAGATTCTCAGAGCATTAAATATAGACGTGGGGCGAGAGTGAAGATCAGACAGAGGAGGCACTGCGTCATGCTCTGCCTGTGCCTTTCCCCAGTTCAGTGGAGTGAAAAAAACCTAAAAGTCTCCACCAGCCGACTGCAGGCTTACATAACCTTCTGTTACAGAGACCTCAAGTGGTCCCACAGGTGGCCGCCATATTGAGTTACAATAATAACTCGCTTTGGTGATTTTACTATCTTTATCTTAATGTTCAAAAAACATGGGAACTGGTTTACAAAGTAGTAGAATATTTAGACAAAATCAAAATTATGTTGTTTGACAATACTGTTTCATGGTGTAAACCTTGGAACAATAGTCAAATGTGAAAACCAGTGGGCCATATGCTCTTTGAGACGGAATGGTTAGAATGGTTCTTAATGAGGGGGGCATCTTGAGCATGACCACATTCCCTAGTTTGAAAGATGTCTTGTCCTGATTGGTTGTTGAACTTTTTGTTTTTCATGGGACCATAATCTTTAGTGGTGTATGATGTTGATGTCATTACAACTGTTTATAAGTTTATATGACGACTGACATATTGGTCAATTCAGCCAATATTGTTTAACCAATGGATTTTTTCTTTTTTTTTTTCAACCAATGTGTTTTAGAGTGTGCCTTTATATAGTATTGTAAAATTGGGCCCAGTTGAAAATAATGGCAGCTGTCATGACACCACACAAGCTTTCCGTGTTTGTGTAATAAACCACTTCTAACTTCAAACATGACTCTGACGTTTATTTTTTAACTAAAGTTTCTCCCCTTCTTTGTGGAATTGTTAATGGTTCTATCCTTTTACCCAAATGATTGACTCTGGTCATGCATCTAACACCTTTGCCCTTTTGTGAAATGTTGATTCATTGTGAAAGAAAGTATGAATCACTATGTTGACATTTATCTGTTTTGTTACCTGTAAAATGAAATCACTTCCTCACTATTTGGACAAAAACTGTAGAACATTATTGATACAGGTCAGAGGTGTCAAACTCTAATACAAAAGTGTTTTTCTTTTATTACCGTTATGTCTTTTTACATATGTGTGTATGTTGATACATTTGTTGTATTTGACATGAATTTGAATGTTATTTTCTGGTCAATTTTGATTCAACCATAATTGAGCTAAATAAGAAGAAGAAATGTCATTCAAGACTGCAAGTTAATTATGAAAACCTCAGTGACATTAATTTCTGCAGGTTTGAAACCTAACCAGCTAACCAACTAAACTTATAATTATGACTTCAAAAAGCATAACATGCCATAGTATCCTATTACTGCAAATTACTATGAAAATCATTTCAGGAGCCACTAAAAATAGTTTTTCTGGACGAATTTGGCCCACGGACCTGAGTTTGACATGCCTTCTATAGGTGGACACTATTGCTGTAAGTGATACATATAGAGGACAATGTATTTCAATGTGGTGGTACTTGGCTGTTTCTTGGGTGGTACTTGATGTGAACAATGTGGGAACCCCTGGACTAAACGGTCTGGGACTCTGTGGCTGAAGACGGAGGAAAGAGCTGAGCTTAGAGTGAGAAAGTGTTAGACAGGAGGAGGAGGGGAAGTACTTGTGTCAGCGTCACTGGTGGCTGCTAGCTGCAGTCCAGAGCTGCTCAGAGCACTCAGCTCGTCCAAAGACCACAGGCGCAGGATTCCCTCTGCATCTTCTTGACCACCTTACCCACAAGTACATGTGTGCACAGGGGGGCTGCCGGACCACCACAGGGGACCTGAGCAAAGAGGAAAAGTGACCCGAGACGGGAGAGGCAGTGGGGGTACTCTTCAGACAAGCTCCAACTTCCTTCCATTACGCTTCTCGGATCCTGGAGTTCAGTCAATTATTTATCTTCTGCCTCATTTCTGGTCGGGGGAAGACAAGTTTGCACGCCTTAAAAGTACTTCCTGGCTCTGGTATAGTACACATTATTTTTACATCCACTTGTCTCGCTTTTCTTCCCATTCCATCCATAAAAAAATACATTTGTATTGAGTATCACTATTGACTACTTTGTGAATTAGGGCACACATAATTATGCCTAATGCCCTATCAGGCATTAGGCCTAATCCTATGTATTTGATAGTGATTATTTGTGAATTATATGTAATATAGATTTTAATGTAATGAATTAATTTAATCTGCATCAAAACTAAAAGGGCTTAAGGGCATGATATCATTTTAAAATGCCAATAGCAATGGCAAGATACATTCATTTTAACCTAATTTCCCATCATGTGTTTCTTTGATTAAGGACTATCAGTGGCAGATCATCAGTTGTGAGATTTCTTTGCACAATGGACCACTCCCCTCATTAGCTGAAGCCCTTTGCGGACACACTCTGGTGAAAGACCTTCTTCTGGACCCTCTCCTTCTCTACCTCAGGATGGCCGGCTGCACAGCACGCTGCAAACAAGGCATCACCAAGCTGCTGCAGTCACTACAAAGATTAGTCTTTGGGACCCTCACAAAAGGTATCTTGTACTTACTTTTTCTTCTGTTTTATTTCTTTGCTCCATATGAAAAAATTTCATAATTGTTACTAACGAGAATGTTATAGATTAATCTAAAGGGATTATTCCTTTCGATTCAACAGTAGTTGTGTAGAACACAAATAAGCAATTTTATCTGATTTTCACAATTTTTCATCCTATATTTATATTTATTATTGTATACAAACATTTTATTCAAAAGTTACAGTTGTTGATTACTGAAAATGTTATGGAATGACCGGAAAATGAATTGAGAAAAAATAGTTAAACTTTTCTATCATAATAGTCAAAAAATAGTAATCTACGTTCGCTATATCAGGGGCGCAGTCATGATGCGGGTTTGAGCAGAGAACATGACCAGAGCATCTCCGCAGAGAGGTACTCAGGAGGCATCCGGAACACCACAACTTGTTCCTCCCAAGTTGGAGGAGGAGTGGCTCTACTCTGAGCTACTTCTGTGTGACTGAACTTTTCTTCCTAAGGGAACTACATTTTAACCACTTGCTTGTGAAAGTTACAGTCTCTAGTTATTAGTGAAAAAATATAGTTTTGTGAATAATAAAAACAACTTTTTCTAGCACACAATGAAAGTAACTACAAAAAAAGTACTACAATAAAAGTAAATTACAGGTAGGCTTTAAGAGGATTTATTAGGTAGAATGTAGAATAAATTATATTAAAAACACTATCAATCTGTTTGTGGCTCCTGACACATATTTTGTCTTTTCGACAATCATAATGTGGAAGTTGCTTAGGTAGGAAGCCTTTGTGCACCTGCGTACGCTGGAGTCTGGGGCCAGGGCTTCTTTGGTGGCTCTACTTTTTATAGAAGCACGGTGACGCAAACATGTTTTTTTCACTATAGCCTTAAACAAACTCTATATCAATACATTGCTGACCTGATAAAGTAAAATATTCATATTAATGTATTTTAAAATGTCTTGGTTCCATAGATAGTTTCTGCATGCACCAAGAACAAAACACGTTATAAGCACAGTCAGCAAGAGACCTTAAATAGATCAGGCTGACTACAGATAAACCACATTTATATTTAAAATGTATTGACTTTACCATAGTGTACACAATCTATTCACTGGCCCACGAGGCAGTAAACAGTGCCAGCCTTGTACTTACCTTCCACTTTGAAAAGTTTCAAATCTCAGACAATGCCCATAAAAAGTGAGCTTTCTGCGCTTTGAATTGACCTTTTGTTAAAATGGGTTAAGACTATTGTGCTTTGGGCATCACAGAGAACGCATGGTTTGCGAATGTCACTGACTTAATTGAAGTGCCCCAAGTAAAACACAGTGGTAATTATTTTTGTCTAATAATGAAACAAGGAAGTTAGTTTGAGCTGGGAAAGATAAGGCAAGTTTCTGATAAGCAGTTACCATGGCAGCTGCTACTGATGGAGCTACTGTATGTTTGGCATGAGGGATTTTTACTGTGCACAGTAACTCTGCTAAATACAAAAATCTGCATGACAGAGATGATTTAACTCATGTAAAGGGGCTGTATATACTGAAGAATGCGCTCAAAGGGTTATATTTCATTATCATCATCCTGAATCAGTTTGCTTCAGAGGGTTCCAATCACATTTGCAAACCCATGATGGATATCAGGAGTTTGAAGCTCTGGTCCTGGGTTCTGGGTTCTCCCCGTGTCTGCGTAGGTTTCCTCCGGGTGCTCCGGTTTCCCCAACCAATAAAAAACATGCACAATAGGTATGAATGTAAATGAGAGAGTGAATGGATAGTGTTGATTGGGGGCTGATGATGTGTGTTCGGCGACCCGCTTCTGTCATCACCGTGTGTGGAATGATTGGAACAATATCTGAACTCTGAACATTGTAAAGTGCTTTGGGTGACCTTGGTCTGTAAAATGGGCTATATAAATAAATATTACTTACTTAAAGATTCAAACCCAATAAACGCATTCAACAAAAAGATCTATGAAAAAAATATGAGAGCAATATACAAAAGCAATGCAGTAGATCAGTAAGATAATACAAAAAATTTATAAAAGCAACACACGCACACTCAGACAAGACACAGGCCCAAACCCTCTGACCCCACACCTCTCCTCCACTATTGCTTTGTGCCGAAGGAGAATCATTATTGCTCTAGCGCACACTTCTTCTCTACTTATTTCTTCTTTCTTACTTCAATATTACTGTTTTTTTTTTCTTTCACAATACAAAGAGGTTGTTAGATGATTTTCAAATTTCTTGCAATAAGTGGCTCCACACACTGAGATACACATAAGTAGTTCTAAATGTAGGCATGTTTTTGTTGTGTCTGTAATCTGTGATAGAGATTGTGAGCATCTCTGTGATGGAACAGGCTTTGTACATTAGGTGATCCTGCAGTTTTTTATGTACACTTGATTTGAATGATGTCTATAGTGGACATCAGATACAATCCTAATGGCCTTTTTAGCATGGTGATTATATTGCTTACAGTCTTTAAAAAGTTCTACAACAACGAAACCATGTGTAATTTCCTGCATGCAGAGGACACAAGTAGATGCTGCTCATGTTTGTGTAGTTCAGGCAGAGCTCTGATGCATCGTGCTGCAGGTGCCAGGGTTTAGGAAGAGACCTAACACTGTCTCTCATTTCATTTTCTTTTAATTCATTCATTCATTGGAGCAGAAATAGTTGCCATAATACATTCATCACTGTTTTATATATTAGCAAGCGTGCACATAGACACGCATAGATTTAGATTACGTATTTTCATGTTTGAGGCTTATAAGGTTCTTTTAAGTAGGAGTGTGAAGAAGTTAAAGCAAGGCAAGCCAAGTTTTTTTTTTATCGTATAGCGCATGGCATGAGTGCTTATCAAAACAAGAAAAAACTTCTTGATCCTCTGACATGTTTTGGCAGTAGGCTTCCACGTTTGTCAGAGTCTGGCGGTCTGGCGGATCGGGCAAATCCGTCAGACTGACCACGGTCCAGAGACCAGAACTGAGTCCCAAGTGCAAGCCAAGGTAAAGGCCCCCTCATCTCTGTTGATGGTCCGTGCGCCTTCCCTCTAACGTAAAACTTTAATTATGCCTTATTTTTGTTCTAATCTAGGCAATATAGTTTTGCCGTGTGTCAATATATTTACAAATATACAGTATTTACCACTTTATTTACAATGTAGAAATAAGGTTGAAAATGGAATGGGAAGAAGAAAAAACGTATAGAGTCTCACCCCATGTACAGTACATATACTACCTTTTTCATGGTTATTGAACATGGAAGGATAATACTAATTTCTGTCATACCCAGCTTGGTTATAAACATTTAAATGAAACTAAGACTGCAACAATCCAGCACACAAACTCAGGCCAGTCCCAGACGCAACAATCTACTCTCACAGCAGTAGACCGACCATGCAGAGGACAGTCATACCACTACTTTAACCAACTGCAACTAGCAACCCAAATGAGACTCAATCTGCTTTCTGATTGGACACTACCAGTATTTATGTTAGCAAAAACAATGTCGCCTTCCCTGCCATTGTTTGTATGGTAAGTTAACATAATAAGTATTTCCTTTCATTTCAACATGTGATATATAATTCTAGAACAAATTACAATCATTTTTCATTTTGCAGTGGTGACATTATACTGCCACTGCTAATACCAATCAGTTTCAAACGAAGGCAGCATAAAGCCCAACTATGCAGTGAGTTGGGGCGCTACTGCTTTTACATAACATCATGGTTGTCACGTGATGGAAATGCAGGAAGGACCCAAAATGCAGGAATGCCAAAACATTTATGATTTAATAAAATAAATATCCAGGTGAAAACAAAACTCAAAATCCAAAATACAGAACCAGGAACACAAAATCAGGAACAGAACAGAAGTTGACAATACAATGGACCAGCAACAAGAGGAGAGGAGCACAGGGTAATTATAGACAGAGACACAGGAGAAACACATTAGGGCGGGGCAGACAATCAAGACAGGGGAATCAGGACGTCAAAGTCAAACTAAAACCAAAGCACAGAGAACAGATATCAAAATAAAGCTCAAGTCCAAAATAACAAAATCCACACCATGACAATGGTATAAACATTTACTACATGGAGAATACTCTTGTCTTATCATCTAAATTTAATTATAGTCTCCTTTTGTAGTACAATTAAAATATGTCTTGTTTCATGTATTTTCCGAGATACATTTGTGTGGCTTTATATTTATACTTGAATATTACTTATTTTTGATCCATTATGTATTGAAAGAGCCGCAAAATGCTGCTAATCCAGAATTCTACAAGCATGTTTGGTAGACTGAAACATTCAGGTCCCTCACCTCATACTCTTGCAGTAATTTGATTTGTTCTGCACGCTTGCCTTTACATACAAGCCTGAGAGAGATAGTGTATAGGGTAATGGGAGCTGGAGCATGAAGCCTCTGCTCAGTCACCTGAACGCCTGTGCTCACGAACGCAGGAGCAGCATGTCTATTCATCAGGGGATCTCCAAAGCACGATACGAGGAGGGGGCCCCCGGCTGACACAGCTATGAGACCTGAAATCTTATACTTAAGGAATCATCTTTGTAACTTCACTTGCTCCTGTCCTAGAAAGAAGATGTCTCATGAAAAAATGAACCTGCTTACAAGGAAGGATTACCACATTCTTCTCAGCAAGAAGCCTCTTTCACGTTCTCTTTTTCAGACCCTAAAAACAAAAACAAAAACATTAAAATATGATTATCACAATGTCAGAATTACAGTTATTTATTGTTGAAAAAAGGAAAAAGTAGAACAGATTTACCTGAAATGTTGTGTGCAGAGCAGAGGCTGAGCGGGTGCTGCCAGTCTCCTTCATGCTACGCCTGCCTTGTTTAATTCCACTTCACCTGTGTCCTTCGAGCACATAACCTTGCAGGAACATCAAACACATCCTGGACATAAATAAAGATAAAGCTCCTTTAGACCTTTCAAAATTTTATAGTTGACCTGTCCCAAACCCCCCTTCACCCCCTGCAATTGTGAATGGAAGCAGTGCATATAAGCTGACAGTGTGTCTTTGCTTTTAATTTTTAAAATCGTCTCACTACAAGCTTTTATGTAACCGCCTTCATAGAGATGTATTTTATCTCTTAATCCAAACTGTGTCTGTGTTTTAGTAGGAGCGTCCTGCATGTTTGACTTTGTGTTCAGGGTTCATTTATTTATTTATCACAAGAAATTATTGCAAATACTATATTAGGTTCAACAACTGATTGGCTGAATATACTCCAGTTGATTAATATACTTCTTGTTTGTTTTATGTAAACAACAAACAGTTGGTGGATCTTTATGGAGTTAATGTTTGGTTCAGTGGGATCATTCGGTTTTCAATGGGTGGTAAATGCGGAGGCGTCCATCCACGTGTTTGTATTAAAAACATTTGAGCCTTACTCAATGGAAGCTACTAAACTGAAGGCAAAAGGTTGGTTGGACTTGTCGACCAACTTGAATTTGAATAATGGTCCATAGCAGATGTCCTTACTTGCTTGAAAGGCTGTGTGCTTGTCAGTCGTCACCCAGTCTGACCTGATGTATTCATTTTTGTCTTATTTTTTAAACATATTGTATCTATATGTTTAATATACTGTATATAGTGAAGACCATACACAGTGAAGTACATTGCTGAGACAAGATATGAAAATGTGCAGATGAGACCGTGCAGACAGATGTACTTCAGACAAGAAACAAAGAAGGTCATTTGAAGCGTGAAATGGCATAATGTTCAAGGACAAAGGCAATAGAAAAATTAAAGCCGCAAGCGGCGTCGAACGGCCCTCGCCGCACCGCGCGACTCCCTGCACCACGCTGTCCCGCCTCACGCCGCCCCGCACCAAGCCGCAAAGCGCCGCTTCACAACGCCCCGCACTACGCCGCACCACACCGTACCACGCAGCACCGCTAAAAGGAGGTGGTCCCGCCGTGTGATGATTTGTGTCCGTAGCCATAGAAGAATGTTAGTCAAATTGTAATGAATATGATAAGTAGAGCTGGTTTGGCTCCCCATGTAAACTTTGATACAGTCTGTAGGGGGCGCTAATGGGCCAATTTCCAATATTTCACTTTAACCTGACCTAAACCCTAGAATTGAACAATGGATTAATGTTTTGTGCAAATCAGACTTTGTTTGTGCAAACAGGAGCAAAATTAATGTTGTCAAAAAGAGCCCACATTTTGCCTGCTGCTCAAACAATGTTTCAAATCAAAAATCCCAGGTCATTTTGAAGGTACTGTGTTGAGATGATGTGGAGCGATTTTGAGGCGAATCGGTGAAACCGAGGAGGAGTCGCTTTCCAACAAACATGTATGAAAACTTTTGCTGTTCATTTTGCCATTTTGCAGTGAAATTTCTGGGCTTCCTGGGTTGTCAGCTCTGATTGCCACCCCCCTGACCCAGAAATGGATTAAGGGGGAAAAAATGGATGGATGGATGTTTACATTTACTCATTTCATTTACTTTGAACCTCAAGTTCTCTGAACTACCCACAACAGAGATAAAAAAAAAAAACTATTTAATAATCAGGGGACATAATACCAAGATAAGAGAATGAGATGATATAAGAGTATTCCACAATAATCACTGAAAATATGTTCAGTTCAACTTACTACAAAACTTATAGCTATTTAAGATGATTAAAATAAGATATAATTTAAAGCCACTACTTCAGTGTAGAGTTTGTATTATAACATTGTTCCTTGTTTAAATGGAAAGCATTAAAACAACAACATATTCAATTGTAAAAAATACCATCATCTAACTCTTAAGACAATGAAATATATGAATATATTTTGTTCAGTTTGAATTCAGTTTATATATTTATGGTTTATTTGTTTATTTTTTGACCCAACTGATGGTGAGGAAGTGCCTTCCACAGATGACACATAATCGCATTTATCTTTTGACTTTGAGATGAATATGTTAATGATGGATCCATTCCACCAACTACAAAGTGCAGAGTGGTGCTTTCTGCGATGATAGAGCAGCTTTATATAACTCTGAATATTGACGTTTTAATGATACAAAGAATATGACCTACATATGTGGAACATTATTATTATTTTTCATGTTGATGACTTGCTTTCTTCATCTCAAATGAGGTGTGACAGAAAAAACTAGAAAGCTGAAAAATGGCAGGTTATGAATTTTTAAAGCTTTGAGAGGTTATTCTGTAGCCCTCACAGAAGTGCAAGGGCGGGGGCGAGAATTTACATATGTGGGGTTCACTTTGTATCCAACTCATGCTTCAGGGTGAGCCTTTTCTCATGTTTTGTCCTGGCTTAGCCTCAGTACTGCTCCGTTAATACAACCTGCACTTCATAACTATCTGAATGTAGATCAATGGCAGGACAGGAAAGTAATTTTCCTCCTCCAAATGTAAGTGCTGTCTCACATGATTTAAATCGAATACTATTAAAGTCATAACAGACCTTTTGCATCAGTATAATGTAAGTGCTCACTCAGTGTCATATTCACAACTCTGTTTGATAAGACTTCATTTCCAAGGAACAGAATTTTGACTTCAAAAGCTCTTCCACTCCATTGCCATTGTCGCTAATTGGAAATGGCATTCATTCATTTATTTATTTATTTATTTATTTATTTATTTAGACTTTATTAAGGACTCACATGCAAGCACAGTTCTCGCTCTGTTCCCATAAAAGGCATATTAGGAAAAAAAGTACTTACACTATTCAATAGAAATATACATTATACAATATCATCCAGGCCAGTCTATAGTCACAAGGTCAAGTACCATTTCAAACACTGCAGTAAATCATTTAAAACAATTATTTTGTCAAAGCAAGCTATGAAGAGGAACAAATGCTAACATTTGATTTGCTGTCAATTTGACTGATTGTTGTCTATATATCCGTCCTTTTTCTTCCGCTTTATCCGCTGCCAGGTCACAGGGACAGCACAAGCGATGGCAACACTCTTAGGAATATCTCCTTCAGGGAGGCGTCCGGGAGGCATCCAAAACTCATGCCCGAGCAGACTCACCTGAGTCCTCTCAGTGTGGAAAAGCAGCAGCTCTCTCCCCTGTGACTAAGCCTCTCACCTTATCTCTGAGAGAGGACCCAGCCACTCTGCAGAGTTTCGACTGCTTGTATCTTGTCCTTTCATTACCCAAAGCTCATGACCGGTGAAGACCCTGAGTACTCCTCGACTTGAGGAAGCACCTCAAGAGAGCAAGACACCTCTTTCCAGTCCAGTACCTTGGGCTTGGACTTGTAGGTGCAGATTCCCAAAAGGACAACATCATCCACAAACAAAAGAGATGAAATACTTTAGTCCCCAAATGTTAGCGTCTAGAAATTCTGTTCATGAAAAGAGTGAACTTGGCCTCCACTAAGCCTACCCAATACCTTGGTGGAGGCCAAAGTGCACTGGAAACAGGTCTGACTTGCCGCCGGCAATGTTGGTATTTTATTGTAATAGAAAGTTATCTTCTATTGTAGATTTTTAGCATGCCTCATATCCCATTTACAATTTCCCCACTTCAAAAACGTGTAGGTGTCTATGAGTTAAAGTGTGATTTGGTGCCAACAACATGGTGAAACATGTTGAGGCGCAATAAAGAGAGTGAGAGAGCGACCTGGCAGATGAGTGGAGAGGAGGGAGTGGTGCAGAGAGCAGCTTTATAGACGCTATGTGCAACTGTGAGCGCGCCAGTCTTGTGTGTGCAGAAATGCAAGAGGTTGGCTGAAGCTGGAGATATTTATGCTTTGTCAGGAAGAGGAATCAACAAGGATATTACTCTAGGTTGTTTGGCGCAGGCCGGTTTCCACAGAGACAACATGGGTGCAGTGGTGGGCACTTTGACCATGCAAACCAAACAGAGGAGACCATCTCGAGGTAGGAAAGTATACATGAATAGCAAAGTAGTTGAATATAGTTTTACTGTCTGAATTCTTTGCTAAAATGTTCCCTCACTTATCTAACTGGAGCTGTGTGTGTGTGTGTGTGTGCCGTGAACCTAATTTTGCATCCAAACTCCAAAGAGTGTCAAAGGATAGGACACACAAAACAAATCTTTCAGAGGATTACGGCTGATCGAAATGTCCCAGATGTACAAAAGTGGGCCACCAAACACATGGAGCAGGGATTACAGCGTGTGATAAAGTAGATTGTCCTTGATTGGGAGTAACATAGAAGCTAAAATCACGGAGGGTTGTTGCGTTACTACTGTGTATAAGGGAAGAGAGGGATCGGAGGTTGGGCCAGAGCGAATTAACACGCAGCTCACATATCATACGTCTCTCAGTGGCCTTATGCTTGGGAATCGGGTTGTCATGGAGACTGGGTTGAGGGGGCATAATAAAAAGGAGGGACTGTGAACAATGGACAGGACGGGGGTTGAGTGAGACACTGTTATGGCTCCATAGCTTGTGAATTTGATATGCTAAAATGTGTGGTCGACATCTTGCTGTTTGCAGACCCATTAGAGTATTTAATGGCTGGCTTTAAGATAAGATGAGGAAGCTATACAGATTGGGTGATGCCAAGCGTAAAGAGCAAATATAAAATTGTCAACACTTACTTACTCTCAAAAGATCAAGATCATTTCCCTCTTTTTGTGTCACAGCATGTACAGTATGCATTCGAATGTAGCTCATTGGCCTTAGACATATGGTATCAGTCTTTTGTTGGAAGTGTTTCTCTAAGCTGTTCTATTTTTGTTGTTAATGTTAAGTTTGCTTCGCTAATCTTGTGTTTTTTCGCCCCTGATGATGACAAAAAGAACAGTGAGGAACGCTTCAGTAGACAGGCACAGGACATTTATTCATGCTTCACAACAATTGAGATATTATTAGACTTTTCACACAATGCAATGTTGATGTTGAAGCTGCCATTATTGGTTGTTTTCAGTGGTCCAACAATTCATTGTACTAGAACATTAAAAGATCAGAAGTGTTCATTTCTCGCATGAAACATTCAAGTTTTAGGTCAAAGTTTTTTTACCTAAAACAGTTTTGATAACTACTTGAAAAAGTTTTTTGTTTTCTTTTTTACCCACATGACAAATACTTTTTATTTACTATTTACTATTATTATTATATTGTCATCCATCCATTTTCTTGTGAAATTAGCATTAATTCAGATTTAGATTACACAGTGTGGGAGACACACTGCATCCTCCACCTGCTGCTTGTCAGCGTGTTCCATGGCTCTCTTATTTGGTTTTATTCTCTAGTTTTGTGTTTTTTTTCTTTTTTCAATCCGAATGTACTTTTTTATTACAACTTAATGTGTATTTATTTCCCAAAAGTCATATTCAAACATAAGCCTATCCAAATAACAGATAACACATGTTTTTTTTGTCATCAACAAATAATAGAAAGACTGATTATTGGCAACAGCCTGTCATCTTTTAGTTATGACATTGGAAAGTCAAGAAATGGGTGAACGTAGCTCAGTATTCTTAAATTAGCTTAGTATTCTAAAATTATGATGCAACATTTCACACATCCATAGACACCATTATGATCATCATCAGAAAATATAGAAGAAAATCAGTCAACATAATAAGGTCAAAGTGTCTGACCGAATGTTTTATGTATAGATTGAATGTATAATGGCTTGTGATCTTTGAATGACATCATTGGAGCTGACGTGTGGCACTCAAAGCAGAATATCATCACACCTTGTTTATGCTGCGGGATGATCTAAAACTGTTCAGACAGTGATTGGTTCCAGGGAGGGTGTGATGCATGACAAATACTGAGAATGGTTATGGGCTGTGGCTAATGAGAATCAATATGGCAGGGGTGTAGGGTGTTGGTAATTGTATCAGGTGTTTGCTTTCCTTTCTCTTGTGCCTTAGAATTAGTCTACAGTATTGTTGTCCTGCAAACAGGGTTCTGAGAAAATAACGGGATAATCGTGTTCATGGATTCTTGATTTCTTGACCCATGTTACAGTTTTGAGAGGTCTGAAGCTTACAATGTCAAGACTAATTTCGTTATTCTTTTGGCGAGTTTTGTTCAGGAATGTGATTTGAAAGAGAGAAAGATAGAGGACTACTGAAATCAATAACAAATATAAAGAAAGGTAAAACATGTAAGAACATGTAGGGAAATGTTTGTGAGAATTCAGGTCCCTGAACAGAAAGTGTTCATGAAGCATTTTTTTAAAATCTTATTTAACCAATTTTAGTGAGTCATAAGCAGTGGGGGAGGATACCACCCCGGGCCGATGGGGGTGGACCCAGAAGTAGGATTAGCCAATGCTAACATATAGCATTGGCAGACCTCTCAAAAACGTCTTTACAGGATGGTCCAAAAGTTGGCTCTTGGTCCAAAGCTCCGTTCCACATGTGTGTCAATGCTGAGGGGGGTGGATTTTTTTGGTCCACTCTAGTTTACTTGCTGTGAATTTTTGAAGTCTCTCTTTCAAATGAATGGAGTTGCGCCGGCTGACGCATGCGCAGGTGCGTTTTTTCACAATTTTCTTGTGGGCGGGACCACTCGCGGCCATCTTGGATTGCTCCAGTAGAGCACATTTTTTGGCCCATTAGTTAGAACGGCGGAGATAGCCGTGACTCTGTCCATTAATATACAGTCTATGGTCATAAGTGAAACTCTTGAAAGAAAAATTGTAAATTTCTATTCCACATTGTTATTATTTTTTTTTATCAATGAGAAAAACTGATTTAATGTGTATGTTCCTGTATTTTTTCTGCATTGTTTATACTCACTAAATAATTATGCATTTGGAAATACGTCAGGTCTTGTTGTAAAAAGTCTATTTTGAGAATTTTTCAAAGATAAATGATGCTTCTATTTGCCAAAAACACAAAACTTATGGTCCAAGACGACAATGAACACCAAATTAAACATATGTCAGTGTACACACAGTCAGTAAAACTCCTCAAAAAATAAAACTTTAAGAATATTAACCATTCTTAAACAAACAAACAACATTAACACCTCTTGTTAGTGTGGCTGAGAAACATGTCTTAATGGATACCAAGGCATTTCTTTTTAATACATATTTGAGTTTTCACTTCTGTCCAGCTCTTATCTAACAAAACAGTAACCAGTTTTTGTTTTTTTCAAATGCAGAAGATACAGTTTACATTTAAGTCACCATGCAGCTATATACATTAGTCCCAAAGAAAAGTATGTGACCTGTTCAACATATCATCTGAGATTATAGTCCTACGTAACATGAGGCAGTATTGTGTGTGCGTGTGTGCGTGTGTGTGTGTGTGCGTCCATTTGACCTTGTTCCTTTTCTAAACAATCCATTTGTCTCCAATAACGAATAGTGTACATGACCTCCTTTCTTCAAATCTCCTCTCAATACATGTGGATAATACTATTGACAGCATTAAGCACGATTTTTTTTCCTACTTTGTATTGCTGGCAGTGTGTGCGTGTGTGTGTGTGTGTGTGTGTGTGTGTGTGTGTGTGTGTGTGTGTGTGTGTGTGTGTGTGTGTGTGTGTGTGTGTGTGTGTGTGTGTGTGTGTGTGTAAAAAATACATTGATAATACAAATACAAATACAAAAAGACACCATTAATAAAAGCTGATTGCTCATTTTTGTTCTCTTTCATTTCTGGATTTTTTGTGATTCTGAAATGAAATACAGTATGGTTCAATGAAAACAGTGGTAAAGGTTTCCACGGTCAAGGATAATTTCCATTGTTCCAAAATATGTTTACATTTTATCATTGTATCAGCTGGCCTCTTTAGACGATCCTTTTCCTGCTTACAAACCATTGCATGTGTTCTTTTGTGTTTGAAATTGTTTACAGTGAGGGTTATATTTATCCACAGCTGCCTGTGTGAAAACAGAATGAGCATTAAAGTTTGATTCATAACACACGGTTTAACACCTGCATTGATAAATAAACCCGTGTGTGTATGCATGTTGCTTTTGTAAATATTGTCAGGCAACTTTGCTCGACATGGGATTCCTCAAAGAGACAGTAATAAGAGCTTAATCTTCAAGAACAACAGCCAGCAGCTACAGGCCAGAGCAACAAATGTGGCACAAATGAAAGAAGCAGCTGGTGACACATTGGCCAGAGCAAAAAGGTCACAGATGCCTTTTCAGCCGGCACCATCCTCACTGCTGCGGCTTCGATGAGGATGGAAGGCATATCCCAGAAAATAGCAGAGAAAAGAACACATGGCTCGTCTTGAATTAAGGCCTATCCAATTTATACCTCGTTTTATTGCTGAGGAGGTGGACAGGAGTCAGCACCTTTCTCATTGACATTTCAGCTAAGTGGATACTGGACGAAAGAGGTGCTTCAATCCAGAACCTGCTGGTCTGTCTTTCTAATGACTCGCTGCTCTTTTGGTCAGTAGATGTGAGTGCTCCAGGCATTTGTGACAATAAGAAGAACTTGCACTTGTGGCGTTAGTGGCAATATCTGTAGTTGAGCTGTTAAGATGTTTGTCCCCAAATATAACCATCAGGCAACAAAGGCAATTGGTTACACTCAGAGAAAAGAGCGCTCAATACTTTTGAATGGCACGTTCTGTTTTATTGATGCTATTTCAGTTTGCTTCCTTTTCACAATTCACTGCCACTTCGTTGGCTTTTCACAAGCATTTCAAATCAAATATATTCATGTGTGTGGTTGTGACGTAACAAAAATATTTACAAGTTTATACGGGATGGATATTGCACTAAATCTTAATGATTTTTTAAATTTTGTGGATACTATATTGTGTGATTGTGCGTGTGTGTTTGCGTGTGTGTGTGTGTGTGTGTATGTGTGTGTGTGTGTGTGTGTGTGTGCGTGTGTTTGCCTGTGTGAGTGTGTGTGTGCGTGTGTGCCTCTCTGCAGTTACATAAAGTAGCCTTAAGAATACATTATTTCAGCGGTCAAGGACAGTATCACTTCTTATAATAAGCTCATTTATATTATTTATTGCTGAATATGACCCATTTCTACTGAATAACCAAGTCATTTTATGAGAACTGATTGGAGAGGCCATCTACTATTTGTAGTTCATTTCATTACCTCAGTTTTTTAAGGCGGTATGTTTGGTTTATGATCTAGGACTAGGTCATGCAGTGTTGAAAACATGGCCTGGAAAACCCTGGCTGACATTGATCACTGAGCTGTTGTTTCACCCTTGATTTTGTTACTACAACAGCTTTGAACACAGAACTGTCTCATGTCAAATAAACCTATATTAGAGGCCTAACCATAACAGGCAGGACTGAACCTGGTGTCAGTGTGCGGCTGCACTTCATCCACCTCTATCAACGTGACATTTAGAGCTACACACTGCTTGGGTCTAAGGCCAGGCCAGTTCATTTGGCTGATTTTACAGAAGCATTTAGTCAGAGTTAATTTCTGGAACCTTAATTTTGGGCATTAAAGTGATTTATGTTAATAAATATAATCTTTCAGTGTATCATGAGATTTTGATTTATTTTGAGTCATAAGGTATAGTAAAACACATGTTCAAAAGTAGTAGTAGTAAGGATTTTTATTTCAAATGTTATCGAAGTGAAACTATAACATCACATTCATCAGAATCACAATTCTTGTATTGCACTTGTTACTTGTCTTGTGTTGTAGGGCACTGACTATGAATCTACTTTTATATTTGGTGCAACAGGGCAGCACGGTGGCTGAGTGGATAGCACTCTCTCCTCTCAGCAAGAAGGTCCTGGGTTCAAATCCCGGTTAGACCATGGCCTTTCTGAATGGAGTTTGCATGTTCTCCCCGTGTCTGGGTAGGTTTCCTCCGGGGGCTCCGGTTTCCCCTACCACTAAAAAATCTGGCATGGTCTGGCATGTGCCTCCTGTACTGGCACCCCTACTCCCAAAGATCACAATTGTAAACCGCTTTGAGACTCTGATGTGCAGTGAAAAGTCAGTATATAAATAAAGATTACTTACTTAAACATAACTAGTTTGATAAATAATGTTATATCATTTTGTCATCATGTCAATTCATTTTCTACCCCTTTATTAATCCATTTCTGGGTCGACGGGGGGGCAATAAGAGCTGCCACCCAAGTCTCACAGCACCAGTCCTCGCTGATCCTCCTGTAGGTGGTGGGTCCACGGGAAGATGGCTTCTCTGTCATCGACTAGAAGCCATCTTCCCGCGGGGGCTTCAGGCAATGTGGGGTTAAGTGTCTTTCCCAGGGACACAACGACAGCAGACATCAGTGGGAGTTGCTTGAATATTAATGTGATAGTTGAAAATGGTGTCAATACAAATAGATAGAAATGCACGCATAAAACACATCTTGATACAATTACACTATATCAGTACACTAGTCATGTAACGGTGCAGTGTACGAACAAAAGGGCACCGAATCAACATGTTCTATGGTCTGCACAGCTGAAAGACAGGTCTGTGAAACTAGTGGAGTGACATAAGTCTCAAGCTGTGTTTTTTTTCTGACCAGATGCTAGACAAAAAAGAGATAAAAGATAATTAGTTGCAGAGGAGCTACAAAGTCCTAGCCTGGGGACCTGGATGATTTCACATGGCTTTGTGCAATATTCTGGATTGTTCCAGGCAAGCAAGTCCAACAAGTCCTCCATATTTAGTCCAAGAAAACCATCCCGATAAGAGCTTTAGAAAATAAAAATGGTAAGATGAATGAAGGATAACGCTATGATGTTTAGAGCTGTTTTTATAGTTGAAATGTGCCATAATGATAGATTTTTAATCTTGCAGTGGATGAATGTATAAAATATGGCTTCATCACCTGTGGACTCTGTGAAAGCCCATGCTGGGTTTCCATTTGTGCAAAAAGTCCTCACACTAAACCACACTACCATTGCGACTAAACCGGGAAAAATCATGCTTGAACAGAAGGTCTAAACCGGGTTAAGTCCCATTATAGTTTCTCGACTATATACGGGAATATGTACAATAACTCCAGATGGTCACTTTGAGAAGGTTTTTCAGAAGTTGTTTCCAACAATGAAACCATTGGAGTCTGCATTGTTTTTTGAGGCCATTTGATCCTTTTGGAACATCAACTGCTCGCCTTTATTTTTTCTTTAAAATAATATTGATTGCTTCAAGGCAAGACATCAGAAGACACAGACGTTCCATTTGCTCTACTTGTCTTTTTTCCACTAGACTAACTGTGTGACATGCAGCCACACACAATAAGGATTCGGTAGAAAAGGTTTAAAGCTGCTCTGCCTTGGGGAGCGGTCTTTATCATCACTGGTACTGGTCACTGTTGGCGTTACAGTTCAGAGAAAGTAAAAGGTGTTTTACTGCAGGAACAAATGGCTAAATTGTTTTTTGTTCTTTTTTTTTTTTTTTAGGAGGACCTTTTAAATCTGCTACAGGGATTGATTTTGTGAGATTCAATTAAACAGAAAGGTACATTTTTGGAAGGTCAGGAGATTATGAGAAAGCTGAACTTATTTATTTCTAGTTTTATTGGTTTGTTCACAAACAAAATTCTCAAAACAGACAACTGTGGCACATACCATGAAACTAAGGAACATTTTAACAATGTATCATTGGGTTTGTGTTGTGTTAGTTAAGCACTTTATGATATTGATTTCCAGTTTTCCACAACAAAGAAAACTTTGCGTCCTTGAATTAAGCAACCAACAACAATTCCAGGCCAATGGCAATGAGTCCAAGGAGGAGGTTTAAAAACGTCAGACTTGAAAAAATAGCCCTCGCAGGAACCAATAAGCTAGCTGTGTGTGTGTGTGTATGTATGTGTGAATGCGTGCGCACGTGTGAATTTGTGCTTGTATAACTGTGTGTTCGTGCATGCAAATGTGCGTGCATGTAAATTAGCGACTATAGAGGGTATATTTGTAATTCATGATTTAAGTCATAAAAGGCAATGATCCAATAAATGTATTCTACAGTAAGTATTCAGAATACAGTTACTATTTTTCTTCCAAAGTAACAGAATACTATATATATTCATGTACTCAGTATTCTGTAACGTAAGAAATTATCTACCCAACACTGATGAGAGCTGACCGGAGCTGGATAAGGTCATTACGATGTGAGTGTGGAGTGGTGTCTGTGTGGAGCAGCCCTGGAGATTCCCGCTCATCGCTCTTCTCTCTGCAGGGAGTTCAGGCCCTGGACTCCTCCAGATCCGGCTCCTGCTGAGACAGTGTGGTCAGGGGTTTGGTCTGTGGTGGGCTCTGAAGTTATTAGCTCTCTCAGGTGGTCTGTGGGAGAGGTCCTGACAGATCTACAATCCCACTATCCCCAACCTGCTTACTCTTCACTGTCAAGGGCACCAGCTGCGTACTGTATGTCAGAAAAGCATTGATATCTATTAATGCTTGTACCTAAATTATTTTTTCTATGCTTTTTAACTATAATTAAATGTATATAGTTTTTCTCTTTAAAGATAATTCTAAATCAATTGTCTTTGTCTCATTTCTAGTGATATGTTTATAATATTTACTCATTGAGGGTTTTTAGTCCCGGGGAAGACCCAGGACACGCTGGAGGGACTAATGTCTCTCAGCTGGCCTGGGAACGCCTTGGGGTCCCCCCAGATGAGCTGGAGGAAGTGTGTGTGGATAGGGAAGTCTGGGTGTCTCTGCTTAGACTGCTGGATGGATGGATGGGTTTTTAGTGTTTTAAAGATGAACTAAACACTGGTGCCCGGTAGACCAGGGGACAAGAAGGGGGGCTTAGACATGGGCTGGGCTGTGACGCACAATGCCTAATTTAAACTAAACAGAACCACGCAACTAAACTAGCTGACTACGTGTAACTACACTAGAAACTAAATGCCATGCTAATAAATTGCCAACTCCAACTCACTATGGGGCGTGTGTGGGACTTGGCTGCTTTTATACCTCAGGTGCAGAGCGACGGACGTCACGCTGCACAAAACAACGTCACAAAGCCGCCAGAACCAATGAAGAGGCCAGGCACAAAATTCAAATGTAGTGCCACCAAAATGTAGAGAGGGCTTTAAACAGACGGTTTTAGGCACAAAAGAGAAATGTTATCTAATATGCCCTAAAATGTCCAAAAAATGACCAGGAAATGTAGAGAACACTGTAAGATAGAGTTTATGAGTTAAAAAAACATGTAGAGAACACATTGATGCAGTTTATGAGTAAAACAAAAAAAGTTTAAATGGTGCTTAGTTGTCTGAAAAAAATACTGGTCGTACTACGATACCTTGATTTGATTATAACATTGTTGACTTATGAATATTCTGGATCTCTGTCAAACATTGTCAGAGAGGCCTCCTCTCTGACAATGTTTAAAACCAGGTTAAAAACGGTGCTGTTTAGCTGTGCATACAACTGAGGGATTTTATGTTTTTATCTTTCTTTTTAATGTTCTGTAATTATTTATGATTTTAATGCTATCTTGTTCAGCACTTTGAATTGCCTTGTGTATGAATTGTCCTATACAAATAAACTTGCCTTGCCTTGCCTTGCCTATTTGGTAACTTAACAACAGACAAAAGGTGACGCATTGGTGGTTAGCACTTTCTGAGTGGAGTTTGCATTTTATCCCCACATCTGCGTAGGGTTCATCTGTGCGCTCTGATTTCCACGACCATTAAAACCTATCATGTACAATGTGTCTTATCCTCCAGCTAAGGAAATGGGACCAAGCTGAACTCAACATGGGTCATTTTTTTCTTAACTAAAGTTTTCTGTAATAAAAGACTACTGAAATTAATAACGAAAAAGATAAAATTATGATACTTTGACTTAAAACTTAATAATCCAAAACATATTTAAATCAAGAGGAGACAGCTTAATAAAAGTCATTAATTCATGTTTTGCCCATTTAAGAATACTGTTTGTTTGCATACATACCGTTTCCAGACACACCATCATGAGATTATAACGTTTGGCTCCTTCCTTCGCGGTGACCATTTTGATGGACACTGACCTCTGCACTGCAAACACAACACAGGAGCTGCAGTATTGTAGATGCCTTGACCCGGACGTGGAGCTATAGTAATAACATCAGCTTCAAGGGAGAAGTGAGAGGAGCACAATAACCGAAGTCGTACAGGAGCCAAACCCCACTGAGCGGTCATTACGTCCCGTGGTGTGCTTATAGAGAAAAGGTTACGGCCACTTACTGCGGGGCTTTTAGCGTCAGGGGCCTATCTCGGGGACGAATTCTTTAGGGGAGATATTGTGATCAGTAAACAGGTCGCGGTTACTGCAGCCGTCTTTGTGGATTGTGAGTCCATGAGACAGATCACGGCTATTCTCAGTAGACCTGTTGAAATTAGGTGAACTATACTGGGTCAGTGGCGAGAGGGCAGGCAGATGGTGTTTTGATAAGCCCTGAGATGGAACATTTTGAGGTTGAAATGTCCCTTTAGTTTCAATGTTTTTCATATTCACAATTAGCTAAGCTTCTGTACCATACACACAACTAAAAATGCATAAAAGGCTTTGAGCGTTGTTCTTGTTAAAAATGACAGACAGGTTTTTGTAGTTGAGAAGGGACTGGATTTTGTGTGTGTGTGTTTTATTAATGGTTAAAAAAGTGCTCACCATTATATGAGAAATATTCTGCTACATCCACTTTTGGAATTTTAACCATGCTACAACATTGCTCCTCAACAAAAGCAGACCTGAAGTTGTTTTTATATCCATGCAGGCTTAATGTCAGGAACTTCTAGCACAGAAAATAGGCCCCATGTTCTGACGCCGATAAAGCTAGAGTGATTTTGACTTCTTCCCTAATTATGATAAAGACAGGGATTTCAAACTGCTTCTTTTTATGCAGAAGTTCAGTTGGAGATTTTATTTTGTTTTATTTTAGTAATAGAGTCATAATTATTTTTCCATATGCTGTCTTCTACTCATTTATACTGTTCTGTAACTTGTGATACAACACTGACACAAATTATTTTAATGATGCAAGAAAACATATTATTCTTTAACTTAATATCCATACATCCCTCCGTACAGACTTGAATAACATAAAACAGATTATGTGTATGAGTACGTGTGTGTGTCTGCTATAAATACATTGCAAAAGCCAATGTGAGGTTTGAAGTGTATGATCTTCTGTGAGGGAGGAGTAAGCATCCACACATTCTTTGAACTTCTGCCGGCTCCTTTTGAGTAACGCATTTTTATTGTACGTTTATGTATTGTTTATAATACTTGTCTTTTATGTTGCGCAGAAAAATAAATATAGAAACAATAGGTGAATGACATTCTAACTCTGAAGAAGAAATCATACAGGTGCATAGCGTTGAAATATGTTGTATCTAAATGCGTATGTAATTCAATTCTTTTCATTTTATTCATGTGTTTTTGTATAGAACAAGACTACAGTATATAACTTTTTGATTCTACTAATAAGTATAAAACGTGTATTCTGACAACAAAATAATTACACACCTCTTCTGCATCTAGCCACGCAATATCAGGCGACTAAAAATCTTCTCTCTAAATGCCCTAATTATTATCATTCTTCAAAGCCACATGTAACTCAAGTTCTACGAATGGTGCGTAGCCCCTTAGCTAGGGCAGACGGGCCCATCAGTCCAGCATGGCTTTGGCTGAGTTCAAAGTGGTTGGTACGGGCCGTAGAGGGCTATTTATAGATGGGACTGGCAGGTGATTGGAGCATTTTGTTCTCTCTGGCGGGAAGCAAGATGCTTCAGGAGTATACCCATAGCGAAGCCTAAGGGGCTACGCACCATTCGTAGAACTTGAGTTACATTAGGTAACTATCAAATATCCCGCCCTAAAACCCCAGACTGGCGCGTGAACACCTAGATGTTTTACTCAAAAAGGGTTGGCGGGAGCGGGACAAGATGTATTCTCGAGTGTTTGTGAACTCACAAATACCGCGAGAATTCAGCTTGCAGGCAAGTTTAGGTGACAGTGGCTCAGTTGGTAGAGCATTGACCTCAGAGCCTGAAGGTCGTGGGTTCAAGCCCACCGTAAAACCTACTTCACGACTCCCACTGATGACTGCTGTCGTTGTGTCCTTGGGCAAGACACTAAACCACACTTTGCCTGAAGCCCCTGTTGAATAATCAAGGCTACTGTGAACTCACCACCTGCAGGAGGATCAGTGAGGGGCTGGTGCTCTGTGTCCTGGGTGCAGCTCTGACTGCCACCCCCCTCCCTACCCAGAAATGGATTAAGGGGAAGAAAATGGATAGATGGATGGTCTATTATGTAGCAAATTAAACAAGCACAAAAAGATCTTTATAATCATTTTTTATTTTTCGCATGATTTTGACCAAGCAGGTGATATTGGACTATTTCCAAGGCACACTAATAAACATCTTGAGGCACACCAACGTGCCACGGCCCACTGGTTTAAAAACACTGGTCTAGTTAAAGTTAAAGTTCTACCGGTTATGAGGGATATAAAGCTGGGATAGCTGACTTTCAAACTATGGGAAACAGAACAATGTAATAAAATACATGTCACTAGTTTCTGACTCTCAGTTTAGTTTTAACATTTGCTTTCACGTATTGTATTGTTGGCCTTCAGATCAACTTTTTCAGCCATAAAAGTTAAAAAGAGCGAACCCATCCGCACTCAGCCAATCAGCTCTCAGCCCAAAAGTGTCAAATGTCATAAAAAACATACAGAGTTTGTACTATTTCTGCCTAAACTCCAGTAGGTGGATTGCATCAGTAATCAGTGCTTAGAAGCTACATGTGTCACAGACAGGATGATTCTGGCAACAAAGGTGTGATTGTAATTCTAATGACTTTATTAGACCGCTAAGAGCATATTACACACTGCCCCTTTAACTGAATAGTTGTTGTGTTTGAAAGTGTTCATTTATTATTTATCACAGTAAATTAGCACCTGCACTTTGTTCTGTCAAAGAAATTCAAGGTCACTTTGAAATAGTGAGGTGTTTTTCAGTTTCCCCACCACAAGTCTGGTAAATCTGCTTATCTTAAGCAGGTGCGCTTTTCTTCCAAATATTTCCAAATCTTTGTTTCTTCCCCAATAATCCCCAAATTTTGTTTTGATGTGGAAACAATGTGCCACTCATTACTCAAAGCTATAGTCCTTCAGAATACTCAAATGTGTTACCCCCCACCATCTTCTCAATCACAAAAATGTAATTATAAAATCCATTACTATTTATTGTTCAAACTTTTCAGAAATGGCTTCAATTGTTT